TAAGCCAATATTTCTAATGGCTCCCAACAGTGGCTTTATCATATAACTTGATGTCTGACACCTTATTTTTCATCTGTTGATAATATCCAAGTCTTTGAAAAGATGGTTATAATAGGAACAGAAAGAGGAGAAAATTGAAGTAGTAATAGGAAATAACCTATCATTAATAAATTGGAAGTTGTTTTTAACCATCTGTGACTTTGAATGAAGGTATAATAATAATGGCAAAATTTGCAATGATTGAATAAAATAATTTTATTTCCTCTTTTTAAAATTACATTTTTGGCATTATCAAGTATGAAAATGTTAATATCTTGCTACTAAGAAAAAGTTTGTTTAGAGCATTTCTTTCCTACCTGTTGTCAGTCCTCTCCTCTTACTCTTTGTCTTTCTAAAGCCATGGGAATAAAGAAGAGTTCTCTTGCAGAGGAATACAACTAGCTGTGGATTGGTTTCTAGATAAAGGCCATAAAGATATTACTGTATTTGTGCCTGCATGGAGAAAGGAGCAATCCCGACCTGACGCACTAATTACAGGTATGATTTTAAATAAGACATTTTTTTCTCATCCAGAGCAAAGTAGCAAGATAGTTTGGAGAGATGTTGATGATCTCAATTTAGATAATTATTTTTATAAGTTTATTAAGTATACTTTAAAATTTATTTTATTAAGTATATTTTAAGAATATTTTTCCAGAGATTAAAAATGGCAGCAGAGTAAGTGGATGTTGCACAGACATGCTCCCAGGAACAAACTGGTATTACAATTAAAATACAGAAAAACTTCCTGAATAGTCAACAGAAAACTTGCAGGAGAGTTTGACACCTGAGGACCAAAAGTGGAGACCGCATAGAGCAGTGGTTCTCAACCTTCTTAATGCCGTGACCCTTTAATACAGTTCCTCATGTTGTGGTGACCCCCAATTTCATTGTTACAAATTGAACATAATTAAAGCATAGTGATTAATCACAAAAACAATATGTAATTATATATGTGTTTTCCGATGGTCTTAGGTGACCCCTGTGAAAGGGTCGTTCGACCCCCAAAGGGGTCGCGACCCACAGGTTGAGAACTGCTGGCATAGAGACTGGAAGGAGGAACCGAGGCCTGAAAGGGCCGGCCAGGCACCCACAGACAGCAACTGAAGTCCCAGGGAGATATCTCAGCTGTGGGGGGTTGCCATTGAGAATTCTAGGATCTAATCCCAAAGCTGGGCGCCCTAACAGAAAACACCAAAACTGAGGAGGTACCCACATAACATCTGGCTGTGAAAAGCAGTGGGGTGCTGTCTGCCAGAGAGTAATAGCTGAAAATTCAGGCACCCTCTTAAAGGACCAACACACAAAATTCCCTGTGGAGCCACCCACCATGTGCTCCAGCAAAGGGAGGGTGAAGTGGACTGGAGCTGTGAGAGCAGAAGCCAGGACCGGAGACTCAGGGGATAGAGCTCAGAAGGAAGACACCCCTAGTTTCCTGGGCTGAGTCATTCCCTCACACAGCAGAGAGCATCTTTCCACATAGACATTTGCCTTGCCTGGGGGGAAGACAGTTGACACACCTATTGGAAAACACCTTACCCTGAGGCTATTTAAGTAATTAAAAATAACAATTAGCCTCCAGGCAGAAGAAACTGCCCCACCCGTTGAAAGAAAATTCTCACCACACCTGAGGACCATTGCCTGGCAGAAAATTCAAGTCAGAATCCTAACAGTCTGTAGGCCAGCAGTTCTCAACCTGTGGATCGCCACCCCTTTGGGGGTCAAACAAGCCTTTCACAGGGGTCGCCTATATACATCCTGCATATCAGATATTTACATTAAGATTCATAACAGTAGCAAAATAACAGTTATGAAGTAGCACAGAAAATAATTTTATGGTTGGGGGTCACCACAACATGAGGAACTGTATTAAAGGGTCGCAGCATTAGAAAGGTTGAGAACCACTGCTCTAGGCAAAGGCAGTCTCTGGAGGCTTTGGGTCTTCCCCTGATCTAATTAGTCAGAAATAGCCTTTCACACTGTCCTGCACTAGAGGTTGAGAGGTATAGAAGATCTACCTAATACATAGTCACAAACCCAAATAGAAAGCCAAAATGAGGAAACAAAGAAACAACCCCCAAATGAAAGAACTAGAGAATTCTCCAGAAGAAGAGATAAATAAAGCATGGAGAAGAAATTTATCTGAAGCCGAATTCAGAGTAATGATGGTAAAGATGCTCAACAGTATGAAAAAAGACATGGTAACTATGAAAAAAGAACAGTCTGAGATAAAGAATGACAACACAAATAAAAAACACATTGGAAGGAATACACAGCAGATTAGGGGAAGCTGAGGATCAAACTGAATTAGAAGACAGAGTTGAAAATATCACTCAATCAGAAAACCAAAAAGAAAAAAACAATTAAAAAACAGGAGGAGAGCTTAATGGAGCTGTGGGACAATGTGAAATGTGAAACATAACAATATTGGAATAGCAGGTGTTCCACAAGAGGCAGAAAGGGAGAATGGCATAGAGAAGATGTTTGAAGAGATAATGGCAGAAAACTTCCCTAACCTGGTACAGGAAAAAGTCACACAAGCTCAGGAGGCACAGAGAACCCCAAACAAGAACACAAACAGGCCCACACCCAGACACATCATAATTAAAATGCCAAAAATTAAAGATCAAGGGAGAATCTTAACGGCAGTAAGAGAAAAGAAAACTGTTCCTACAAAGGAGTTCCCATAAGGCTGAC